AGAGAGCTGCAGGTCTGACCACATGAAATGAACCGATGGTATTTTCTGATCACACACTGACACTGAGTGTCTTGATGATGAGCGGGGGTTGACACACGTCTGTCCTCACGTCAGCCCAACACCGTAAAAACACAGAGAAAAGCAGGAGGGTTTGTCTTCATAATCTTCAAGGGATTAATAAATCTAATCTAATCTAATCTAATTTATATAACATCCAAATGACTTTTAAAACATCGACAGTCAACAGAATAGAGAGAGATACAGCATTATGAGAGACGTATGTCTGGTTCGTTGCTATCTTGCTAACAGCTTTCTGATGAGCAGTAAACAGACTTATACTGATTGAAACGACTTTTCTCTGACCTGTTTACCTGGAATAATGATGTTTGTCTAATTAAATTGGTCGTAAATTTACTTTGTTTCAAGTCCGTTTTTTTCCCCACATTGTTGTTGACAAATAATTCTCCCACAATGCACTGGGAACTCTAACCTCTTTTCTGTGCTTTCACACTTGAACAGTACAATCCCTAAGTTTTTCTTTTCTGTTTTCATGTCCTCCTCTAAAACCCCGATGTATTTTCTCCGGTGTCTTTCTTCATTCCACCTGCCTGGCAACACCATTGGTCGACTTCACCCACCGTCTTTCTCTAACCTTATCTAGAAACTGTTCGTCCTCAGCCGTCCCTCTAATTTGCTCATTCTCAGTCCGCTGCGTCCTGCTCACTGACATCAATATCTCAGCGTCCTTAACTTGTCCCTCAGTCTCGTTGTCACTGAGACACTGTCACAGTCTCCTGACCATACGTCATAGCAGCTCTCACTACAGTGTCCAACAGTGTCCATCAGTGTCCATCAGTGAATCATCCAAACTAGAACTGCATTCACAGGGTTTACAGAATACTTTTATACAGAACAAACCAGAAACTCAGACGTTTCCTGATACCAGTGAAAATACAAAGGCATTTGTACAGTTGTCATACAGGACTGAGCTGAACCAGGAAGTGGAATCCAGTCAGTGATTGGTCCAAACGGTTCCTCTGTCCCTCGGCTGTAGGATCACTCTGACTCGTGTTCACGTTGGTGTTTCCTGTCTGCCGGGGTCTCTCTCTCTCTCTCTCTCTCTCTCTCTCTTAGTATGCGGTTTCAGTTCAAGTGCAGAGTCTCGGTGCATTAGGGGTTGGCGGGCG